TTCGAACTAATTTCGTAGTGTAGACGTACCCTTAGTCTCTAAGGTGCCACAGGACCCTCTGTTGCTTTTTACAAATAACTCTGTATCTTTCAAATAAAACCTGGGGGGGAAAAGTGTTTGATTAGTTTACTTTTTAAATAGTATTTCGTAGATATGGTCATTATAAGATATTTTTGTAATGATTTTTTCCCAGTTCAGTTTTACAAGTTTTTTTTCTAACAGTAAACATGTGATTCTTTAACAGGAACCAGTCAAATGTCAGAAGAATGCACACAGCAGTGAAGTTAAATGAAGTAATTGTAAATAGATCCCATGATGCCAGACTTGTTCTACTCAACATGCCTGGTCCTCCAAAGAATGTAGATGGTGATGAAAACTGTATCCTTTGAAGGAAAGCCAAAATGATACTCAAAAATATGTATCTCCCTATCTAACCAGGTTCTTATACTTTGCCTATCAAAGATATTTATTTAAACCAAAATAAGTGTAACTTACTGTTCCAGTGGTATGAAAGTAGTCAATCGTCCTGTTGGGATCCTGGAAGTGCACGGGCGGAAACCCACCCACTGCTAAAGGACCTCCCTCTGCCTAAGGGGAGGATCCACAAAGTCCAGGATCTCAATTAATTACGGGGGACAACTAAAGATATAACAGGGACAGGAGTGAGGTCACAGGGATAAAGTAGTAAATCGTGGTTGTTGAGATACAGTAAATACTTTTAAGGGAAAGTCACATCTGCCTTGCCACTCTCCTGTTTTGTACCTAAGATGCTTTACTAACGTCACCTGTCAGAGGGCCTGACCTGTCTTGTCTACACTCCTTTCTTAGTTTCATTTTCTCTGATGGGCCTGCCTTCATAAGCTTTGGCAACAGTAAGGAAATTCAGTAGCAGGAGTTTTTCCTCCTACAGAATGAGGCTAAACAATCTGACATTACTTAACATGGAAATGATGTTTGCTCTTTCAAGGAATAGTAGCTACCTTTTTCTTATTGTACTGTGAAGCATTTAATAAGAACGAATTCCTGTACACAAAAATCAACAAGGAGAGTGGGGGAAAGGGGTTAACGCTTACTGATTGGATTCTAAAGAGGCACTTAGTTTAATTATACTAACAAAAGATCTACTTCTGACATGGTAACTTCAAATCTATCGCCTATTTGGCCCTATATTTGGAATTTTGTAACAACTGAAATCTAGCCAGTCTGACATTTACAATTGTGAATCTGTAGGGGTGAGTAAGATGCACTTCCAGGGCGGTTCACATTTTCAGAGAGGTTTAGAGCATGTTCCTAGGAGGCAGTATGGACATCCTCCCCAGGAAGTGGCTTGGGTAATACATGACTTTTGTGGATTCAGGTGTGTTTCTAAAGCAGGGAAAATGTTAAGTTTTTGTGTGACATTAAAATGGCATACTAGCTTCTTTAGCTTCCTATAGCTCAAAGTTTAAGGAATAGATGCAGCATGGGAGAAATTTCTGGGTAGTATCCATGAATCAGCTGTCCCTCTGTTTTCCTTACGTCCCACTAAAGTTTGTCTTGGATTAAAATCTCATGGTGGACAACTGTCCACTCCTGCCCTGTTATAGACCCAACTTGCACTCTGAAGGGAGCAGGGTTTGAAAAAAGTTTAGGATATGGTTGAAACATGACTCCAAATATGGCTGGGGCATCCCATACATCTTGTGCTTGATGCTATATTGGTCCACAAAGACAACACAGATCTGTCAGATTTAGTCAAGTTGCAATAAATTAATTTACTGCTAAAATGTAATTTGGCCTTTCATTTGGTTTCAAAGCATAAACATTTTCAAAGTATATTCAGCCATGAATATGAAATGTTTATATCAATTTAAGAAACTTTAACTCTACCAGTTCTTCAAAAGTTTAACTGCACTAGTTCTTTAAAGAGTTTGCCCATACTATTTAGAAGAATTCAATCTCCCAATTGCAATTGACATACTAATAAATTCATTTTTAAGAAATCTAAGAGGATTGTTTCAAGAAATCGCTCAAGATTTTTAGATACACTCAGTATATTAGAAAACTTATTGCTATTGTATTACTGTTCAGTAAAAAGGATGCCAGTGACTCAGTGTCTGCATTTAAGTTATAAAATATCATTTGTCCTTGACTTTACTGATACAGATATGGAATTCCTGGAGGTTTTGACAGAGGGCTTGGAGAGAGTATTACTTGTTAGAGGAGGTGGTCGTGAAGTCATCACCATTTACTCTTGATTTAATACAGCTTTCTGCACCATCGCACATTTACCTTCTTGATGACAAAGGACATTCCAGTTTTAAATGGAGAAGAAAATAGGTTCTCTCTCTTTCTCTCTCTCCTCCCTTCAAACAAACACAGACTTTCCATCATCCATCCAGTCTCCTGAATGACTTACTAGACTTTTCTCACCAACCTTTACAGTATACC